TCACACATCTCTCACTTTAAGTCAAAAGTTAGAGATTAAGTTTAGTGAGGAAGGCGTGTTGAAAACTGAGACAGGCCAACTGCTAGGCTTCTTGTGCCAAACCACAGGCCAAGTTATGCATGTAAAGGAAAATTTCTTGAAGGAAATAAAAAGTGCTATTCCAGTGAACACATGAATGATAAGAAAGCAGAGCAGTCTTATTGCTGATATGGAGAAAGCTTTAGTGGTCTAATAGAAGGTGAAACCAGCCACAACATTCCCTTCAGCCAAAGCCTAAACCAAAGCAGGGCCCTAACTGTCCTCAATTCTCTGAAGGCTGAGAGAAGGGAGGAAGCTGCAGAATGAAAGTCTGAGACTCGTAGAGGTTGGTTCATGAGGTTAGAGGAAAGAGGCCATCTCCAAAACACAAAAATCCCAGGTGAACAAATGCTGATGTAGAAGCTGCTGCGAGTTATCCAGAAGCTCCAGGTCAGACCAGTAATGAAGGGGCTACACTCAACAACAGGTTTCCAATGTAGCAAAACAACCTTATTGGAAGAAAATGCCATCTAGGTCTTCCATAGCTAGAGAGGAGAATCAGTGCCATGGCATCAAATATTGAAAGGACAGGCTGACTCTTATTAGGGCCTAATGCAGCTGGTGACTTTAAGTTGAAACCAATACTCATTGACCATTCTTAAAATCCTAGGGCCTGTAAGAATTATGCTATATCTAGTCTGCCTGTACTCTGTCAGTGGAACAACAAAGCCCAGATGGCAACACATCTGTTTATAACATGGTTTATTGAAGTCCACCATTGAGAACAGAAAAATTGATTCCTTTCCAAATGTGACTGCTCATTGAAAATGTACCTGGTCACCCAAGAGCTCTGATGGAGATGTACAAGATTCATGTTATTTTTTATGCCTGCTAACACAGCGTCCACCCTGCAGCCCATGAGTCAAGGAGTAATTATGACTTTTGAGTCTTTTTAAGAAATAAATGTCCTAAGAAATAAAAAGTTGCCATAGATAGTGATTCTGCTGGTGAATCTTGGCAAAGCAAATTGAAAACCTTCTGGAAAAGATTTAGTATTCTACATTAAGAGCATCTGTAATTCATGGCAAGAGGGCAAAATGTCAACATTAACAGGAGTTTGGAAGAAGTTGATTCTAGCCCTCATGGATAACTTGGAGGGATTCAAACTTGAGTAGAAGAAATAACTGTAGATGTGGTGGAAATAGCAAGAGACCTGGAACCAGAAGTAGAGCCTCAAGATGTGGCTGGATTGCTATTGTCTCAGAGTAAAACTTGAACAGATGAGGAGTTACTTCTTCCTAATGAGCCAAGACAGTATTTTCTTGAGATGGAATCTACTCCTGGTGAAAATGCTGTGGAGATTGTTGAAATGACAACAAAATAGAATATTACATAAACGTTGTCTCTGGTAAACCAAAGATGGGATTTGAAAGGATTGCCTCCAATTTTGAAAGAAGTTCCACTGTGGGTAAAATGCTACCAAAGATCATTGCATGCTACAGAAAAATTGTGAGCTACTTTATTGCTCACTTAGTAAAGAAATTGCCACAGCCATCCATTCTTCAGTGACTGCTGCACCCTGATCAGTCAGCAGCCATCACCATGGAGGCAAGACCCACCACCAGCTAAAAAGATTATGACGTGCTGAAATCTCAGGTGATGGTCAGCATGTTTTAGCAATAAAATATTATTTAATTAAGGTATGTATGTTGCTTTTTCAGACATAATGCTATTGTGCACTTAACAGACTGCAGTATAGCACAAACGTAACTTTTATATGCACTAAAAAATAAAAAATGTCATCGACTGCTTAATCACAATTCTCACTTTATTGTGGTGGTCTGTAGCCAAACCTGCAGTATGTCTGAGGTATAGCTGTATTCCTTGTATTTAAATTCTAGCTGCTGTACTTCTCATTTGCTCTTTCCCATGGTTTCTCCTGGTTTTCTCTGTCTCAGCTGTTTCCTGTGCTCTCATCACATCACGACAGATACTCACTTATGGGTTCATCCCTCAGCCCCAGGGCACTTCAGTTTTCCCCTTTCTAAAAGTGAAGAAATGAATTCGTGGTGACAATTTCAGGATCAACTCTTTCAGGATTTTCTCCTTCCAAAAGGAGAAGCAAGAGTATGCCATAGCTGTTTTGAAACCATCTTTATGCCATATTGTTAGTTTTACATAGAATATGTATATCCTGAAGCTGGAATCATGCACAGCTTTTCCTGCCATATTATCACAGTAGGAAAGAGAAATATGGGCTGTGACAATATAATATTATGTCCACACCATAAACAGGTGAATGGTGTAATAGGGATTTTGTCATCTTTATCCTAATGAGGCATTATTTTTGGACATGCTCTCTGCATTTCAACTCTTGCATATGAAAAAGGAACCAGCATGTGCCTCTGCAATGTTCATGCTTATAAATTTGTGCTTAATCGATCCAAGGTTCCAAATAAGATATATGTGTTGTCCAAAGGTTTCTTTTATCCTTCTTAATTTTAATGAACATTTTCTGTATTTTGGTTTAAGTTCATGCAAAATCTGTGCAGTTCTTATGCATTTGAAAGCACCTAGAGACTCTTAATATTTGGTTTTTATAGCTTTCTAGTATATACAACAGAGTAAGGGGAACACGTTTCTGTTTTAAAACAGCTTGAAGAGTAAATATTTTCCTTAGTGAGGGAATAAGCAGATTACTACAAAAGGTGGGCTCGGGTTCACAGTCTAGAGAAGTCTAAGCAGTTTGCCATAGTGAAGCCTGATGCTTCAGAAACCATCTCTTTACAAATAAGCTCTGGATTTACCACCTCATGTATTGTCATAATCTGCTAAAGTTGTCGTTTGTTGATATGAAGTGTTTCTACAATGATGAATTTCACCTCAGCGCTTGTTTTGTAAACCCATAGAGGAAACTTGTGTATAAGTAGAGAGAAGGAGAAAAATTTGTGGTGGAAATAGTCACTGTTTCCAAAATGAGAACTTTGGATATGTCTAATACAGTAAAAGAAAAACTAATCAATTTGAAGTAATATTTGAAGTCAAACAGTGCTTGAGAACATGTGCTTAATGGCATATTTTATAGTTTTAAAGAAAAAACAGTTGGGATATTGTATGAAAGGAGCCTCAACAAAGAATTTCTATATGGCATAATATATTAATAATAAACATCCTACATTGTTCTGCAGAGAAATTAAATGATAATGCTGAGAACCAATTGAAATAGTGTTCTACTTAGAAGAGTAAATAATGCTAATAGCTTTTTATAAAAGTAGCTCTGTTTTATGGTATTTGTTTTTTATCGTTTGTGTCTTATTGTCTGGGAGGGTTACTCATCAATTTCAGCACTTAAAGCTTGTCACTTAGAATTTCATGCAGTAGATATTTGTGGTGGTTCATTTTTATATTTTCTAATTCTCATTATCTCTTTGTGGGTAAGTAACCATGTTAGTTTAAATAAATAAATAAAACATCAACCCATTTCCCTTTTCAGTTGATCTGATACCATTGTTGACTTTCTTTTCTCATTGCTGCTGAATAAAATTTGCTTGCACTATGGCCTATTGTGTGACTTGAATGGAGCCATAATTTATATTCTATAAAGAAAGGTTTTAAGAAACATGTTTTGTTCCTGTAAGTATGCTCAAGTTTGGGGGAAGAATAGTAAACCCACATCTTTTTATTAAGCAAAGAATGAAATGAACCAATTTAAAATAATTTTAGGCAATGTTGTTCTGGTACTATAATGAAGCTGAAAAAGGTTTTGGTCTTCATATAATAGAATGATAATGTCTGTGTGAGCCTGATCAGATTAGACATAACCAAAATAATCTATTAAGGTCTAATTCTCTTTCTTAAAGCTAGCCTGATACATGCTAGTCGAACTCTTGGGCCATTTGGGGCCTTGAATTAAACATTCAGTAAACAGTTGTTGAATTTATGAGTAAATAAGTATAAGATAAATAAATTATATTCATGCCCACCAGTATTAAAATGCTGAGCCCATTAGTCTGGGTGGGATTTAAGAGTCTTAATCATTATTGTTGTTGTTAAATAAATGTTGCTCTTTAGAACTTAGAAGAATGAAAATGAACGGGGAGAAAATTATCTTAAGTTAAACAAAACAGTCATAGAAAACTTAAAATTTCCAGAATACTTTTTATTCTATAAAATCACTATTTCTTAAAATATCTGTTGTAGTAGTTCTTCTGTACATGATTTTGAGAAAAAAATGTCACCACTAAAAGTTAAGTTATAATCCAGTTGTTCAAAGTGATATGCATTGAATAATTTAGTGACCAAGATGGGAGAACTTGGTGACCTTTTTTATACCTCGCAACAAGAACGATCTGGCAGCTCATGCACCACATATAATATAAAGTTTAAATGTCACAGGGAGTTTAACCAGTACTGTTTCCAGGTAACATTATGCCTACAGATTATGATAGTGTTGAGTAAGGGTTAGAATCATGAAATTGTAGAAAGTTAGATCTGAAAAGGATATTTAAGATTATCTAATCGAAATGTCCATTAGTGTATAACCGAGAAAACTGAAAACCCAAATGTAGGATGAATCAAACCAACAAAAGGAATGTTTTTAATGAAATAAGTTGTATTTATAGATAATGCTTTACATACTGGACCTGTCTTTTAGATTTCATGTAAAATTGCTGCTCATTTTTAAGTTCCTCCTTTTAGGTTCTCTTCTCCATAGAGCCCTTATTTCATTGGATTTCATTGTCTTTCCCAATGGGATGAAAATGTGTTCATAGCAGAGGCCTTGGCTTACTATGTTTTGTACTTTTATCTTCTCAACTTTAATCACAAAGGGTGCCACAGAGCAATCCTTCAAATATTTGGGGAAGTAATTAATGTCCCATAGCAAGAAGAGAAAAATTATAAGCATCCCAGTGATAAATCTTGCACCTCTTAAAATGTGTGATTAACAGAAATAAATATGTGTTCCATTTTTGTCCCCACAGTCTCCAAACGTCCACAACTACCCCGATATGGAAGCTGTTCCCCTGTTGCTAAATAATGTGAAAGGGGAGCCCCCGGAGGACTCGTTACCTGTAGATCACTTCCAAACGCAAACTGAGCCAGTGGACTTGTCAATCAACAAAGCCAGGACATCCCCCACAGCTGTTTCATCCTCCCCCGTTTCCATGACAGCGTCTGCCTCCTCACCCTCCTCAACTTCAACCTCATCCTCGTCTTCTAGTCGTCCAGCCTCATCCCCAACTGTTATAACATCAGTATCTTCTGCATCATCTTCGTCAACAGTATTAACTCCAGGGCCCCTTGTAGCCTCTGCGTCTGGTGTGGGAGGCCAGCAGTTTTTGCACATTATCCATCCTGTACCGCCTTCAAGTCCCATGAATTTACAGTCTAACAAACTGAGTCACGTTCACCGCATCCCCGTGGTGGTACAGTCGGTGCCTGTTGTCTACACAGCTGTGCGGTCACCTGGAAATGTGAACAACACTATTGTAGTGCCGCTTTTGGAGGACGGGAGAAGCCATGGCAAAGGTAAGGGACACAAACGAAGCCTTGGTTTATTTCAGCGCTTAAGGTAACTTGGTTTATTCAGTGGGTGGCCCCTAAGTTGTGTGCAGACACATTACATCCGTAGTCCTATGCTCAGCAGCGTAGAGACACCAGCTGATTGGCCACTGAGTAAAAGCACAGTTTAATCGGAACTAACCTCCTATTTATAGAGGTATTTACTTCAGTACTAGTCTATATTTTTACGTATCAAGTCATTTAATATCAGAATTCAAATACCTGAATTTGCAGAATAATGTTTATCTTCAAATGATCAGATGGGAAGGACAATCTATAGTTAACTGCTTATAAATAAAGTTGCCATTAAAATAATTCATCTCAAATTAGGTGTTTGGCTATAAAAGTATTGCATAGCTTGAGTTACTGTCTGCACATAAGTCTAAGTCATTTTAAATAACAAGATGACTCAGTATGGTGGAAATATTTCAAATGCAACATTAATATTCCCTTCTAAGATTTAGGAGGCAGGAAGGTACTGGCCTACATTATTGTGTTTAATAATGCCTATGCACTTAATTGTGTGTGGTAACTATGTAGCGGATTATGAAGTTATTTTTCTACTTGTAGGTTCTAACTTTTCCCCAATTTTTGCTGGAAGAAATTGTAAGAGCATTATGTTATCATTTTTTCTTCCTTTCCCATGAATCTAAGAAATAAGCTACCCTTCTATAGAAATGTAAAGTGCTTATAAGCATTGACTCACTCCATTTTAAACTAAATATATATGTGTGTATATTGTCTTCAGAGCCTAGAAATGATGATGTATTAAGACCTGTGTTGTATTACTTTTTGATTTGATACCATATTGCTTCTGAGGCACATGATTAAAATATGATCAATGAATGCGTAAATACTGCCTTCTCATAAAATGCTAGTAAACAAACCTGGTTGTTTGGATTTTCATGTAAGGTAGAATTCAGTGCATAGTAACAGTTGATGGTGAACCTAGAGAAAGTTTTGCAAACATACTCTACAAACTGTGTATTCACCTTTGATAAGTTACTGTATCTGCAGTGAGTTTCTTCACAACACATGGAATAAATTTCACCTTCCTCATTTGCCAAGTGAACAATCTCATGATTCACAGCATTCAGAGATTTTTTACTATAAACTTGAGAGACACCTGCTCTCTGCTTGCCTGACAGCCTTTCTCTTTTGCACTGTTGTGGGCAAAGGCCAGGAACTAGTCCCACACACTCTTAGTGATTAGGTAGGGCCAATCGAGGCTTTTCTTGTTTAACTTGAGCTGAGTCTTCTTTGATGTTATTAATACTTCCCATCAAAAGGAACTAATTGATTTGACTACTAGTAGCATAACTGAAGTCCACATCAGGGGTTTAATTTCTTCTAAAATTTTAAGTGTGTTTATAATTTTTTAAAGAATTAGGAATTAACAAATAGCAAAAATACAACCTTGCATATTACATGATTTGTGTGTGTATATTGCATATTACATATGTATGTGTGTATGTACACCAAAGATTCCAATCCTTGTGTGATACCACTTAAGGGAAACCTTGCTTTTATTTATGAAGTTGATTGATAAGGATTTCAATGTTTTTCATGACCTTTTTTACAATTTTGATGTCACTAATGAAGGAAACAAAAGAGATAGCTATTTTGTTTGCCATTATTTTATGGGGGAGGTTATTTTTGTTGAAAGTGAATAATATATAAAGTACATTGCCAAAATTTTATTTTCTGGAAGCTGTATCTTTGCAGAAGAGCTCTATTTTAAGACTCAAGCTGTAATTTGTTCCTGAGTGTATTTGTTAGTTTCATTCAATGTTTTCTTTAGTCATTTTCTCATATCAAGAACAAAAGTTCACCTAAGTATAAATCCACTGGACTGTGAACTGGACATTAGTAGCATGAGATTTTAGGTCAAGAATCTATGAGTTAAAAGCCTAGATCCCTCACTTATATTTCTGGACTGACAAAGTTATTTAATCTCACTAATCTTCACTTATGCATTGGGATAACAATGTGATCTAACCTTGAAGAATATTGTAAGATTAAGTAAGAGCTTACGTGTATATGTCTAGCATTAGCTCTCAATAAGTGCTTGCAGTTATTTATCATTATTATCTCCTCCTGCAAAATACGTGAAGCAACAATGTTAAATTTTTGGTCTTATAAAAGCAGAAAGTTGGAGAGGATAAACTTCCTGAACTTATAAATGAAAAATTGCAGGAAATCATAGAGGGTCATAACAAATCACAAGTAATTACAACTAATTACCAAGAAGTTGGTACAGAAATGCTTCTCAAGGTTGTTACCACAACAGATTATAAGAGATGAGAGTTTAGTATAAGAAATTTTCTGAAAACATCCCATAATTTCTTTTTTTATTAGTTTATATTAAGTTTTTATAATCACCATCTGCTACAAATGTTGCTATAGATTTTAGAAAGTTTTTTTATTATTGTTTAACTGATTAATTAGATGATGGTAAAACTGTCTACTGGAGGAGGATTGCCTACCTCACAGAATGAATAAAAGAAAGGGCATTTCAGTAATTCCTCACATCTTTTTTTGCACATACGCAGCTGGGCACTGGGCCAGCAATGGAAAGACTAAGTGATAAAGGGAGTCCCTTTATCCATTCCCATTTAGGACTTCTGTATCTGGTATGGATGAGCAAAAGAAAATATGATATGAGCGCTGGATTTTCAAAGTGCTAAATGATAAAACTACAAAATGAACTCATGTAAATGTAGATGATTGTTCTGGCTAATTACTTTTAAAGTTGGTATAAAGTATCTTGTCTCTGATAGAAAAATAGATTACCTTACATGTTACATTACACAGAGAAACTGTGCACACATTCTTGTCTCAGATAATGCATCATGTGGAATCACTAGTCCATTCAGGTATTGATTGAGTATCTATTATGTAACAGACATTTTACTGGCACTATGGATACAGTGTTGAACAAACAGATCCTCTTGTCAGAATTCTTTTAATCTACTGAGGGATATCTACATTAAACAAACAAATAAAAATCATACAATTAACTGATAATTGTGGACAGAGTTTGATTAAAAAATAGACCAGTCATGGATTTGCCCATGGGAGAGAATTTAATTACAATTGGCTATAGAGAAAGTTGAATATGATAAAAGTATTTTCATGGAGGATGTTATATATGGTTAGAAGAAATGTTTTTACTGTGATAATCAGAAGTGGGTGGTTAAGGCTTGGGGAAATGTAGGGTGAAAATTCCGTATGGTTATGCTTGACTAACAACAGAGGGAAGTGAGAAAGTTTCCTAATAAGGCTAGAACCTCAGCCCATTGGTCTAAAGAAACAACAAGTTGTTAGCTAGCCCAAGGCACCTAGATATCTCAGTTGGGTCTTGAATGTAATATGAAGAAAAATGGCATGATATTCTGGAAGGTACAGTAAACCAACACAGTTTAGACTGGAGCTGTGAGAGGGAGGAATGTTATAAAAGGTCTCCCAAGGAGGACATTTTTCCTCTTGATACCTAATGTACCAAGTAGCCCCCAAACTAAACTGCCTGTAGAGGGAGAAGTCAGTGGACTGATCTGGCCCGAGTTTTGTTACTATATAACCTGAGGACATTATTTATAAGCAGGACCTTAAGGGGATTATTTGTTCTTGTTAAAGAATTTCAGTTCAGCTAGCCTAGGGAAGGTTTTGGTGGATTTCCCATGAGATTTTAATTAGTGGTTACAGATATTTAGTAGCAAGAAATCATAGAGGGTCATAGCAAATCACAAGCAAAGTTGTTACTAGTTTGTTGTTGGGTTATGAAAGAGTAGGCATGTTGAGGATTCCCCTTCCTTCTCTCCTTCCTTGCATGTGCTTCTACTATATGTTAAGCACAGTTTTGGGCATTAGTGTGCCAATATGAGCAAGTGCCTACTGTCATGGACCTTACATTCTAGTATGGAGACAATTTACGTCAGATGGAATAACAGCTATGAAGAATAAAAAGCCACAATGGGGTGCAATTTTAAGGACAGTCAAGGAAGGTCTCTCTGAGGAATAAGCTATGATAACACGTGGGGAAGATCTTTCTAGAAAGAAAGAACTGCTAGTTGGAAAACCCTGAGGCATGAGCCAGCATGGCCTGGATGAGGAGAGTGACAAGGACACCAGGGGGACAGTAGGAGAATGAGCACTGGGAGAGCAGCAGAGAGAGAGAGGGGTGAGCAGGACTACGTCGTGTATTACCTCCGGCCATGAAATGTTCTTTGTTTTTTTCCTGTGATGGGAATGTGACGGGAAGCCATTGGAACTGAACCTTTGGGCAACAAGTGACGTGATCAGTCTGTCTTTTACAGAATCATTGAGCCACTGCATAATGAGAACCGAAATCAAGCATTTGGCTAGGGTAGAGTTCCGTGGTGATACGGGCAGTGTGTCAATGGGCTAGTGGGACAGAGGACCAACTGAAGGGAGACTGCATTCGGATGGGGTATGAGGTAAGGCAGACAAAGTCTGACCGCTCTTTAGAGTTTTGCTGGGGAGAGTCAGAGAGAAATGAAATGGTATGATAACTGGAGACCCATTTAGGCTTACAAGGGAGGAGTTGTAAAAGAAGAAAATAGTATAGCATATTTGTATGCTGTCAAGAAAAATCAAATATAGAGTTAAAAATGGATAATTAATTCTAGAGAAAGAACTGAAGAAGCAAAGTCCTTAATTGCATATCAGTTGGTTACGTTACACTGTGGAAGTAACCTGCATCTAGCAACAGTTAATCTGGATTCTGAAGTTTATTGATTGGATTGACAAAATTTTTAGGAAAAATGATACATACTGGGAAATGAAAGGAAATGAAAAAAATAGGAGATAATGAGCTAGGATTGACAATGAAAAGCAAACAAAAGTTCCATAAAATTTGGGTTCCATTGAGAATTATAAAAATGATACCAGAATTAATGTTAAGATCAAATATTTCTCATTCAGCACCTAATGGACTGTACAGAATA